TCTGATTTAAAGGAATGTTAAGAAGCTATCTTTCAGATTACTAGTACCTTTACAAGTAGTATTGTGCTTTGCCTTAATTCTTTATGGTAATGGCTTGACCTGGATTTCCCAACTTATTTGAAGCAGTCGCATTCAGTTGTCTGATGCCACATTTATCCACCAATACCGTCTCCAATTTTAACGTCTTCTCAAATGATGTGATCCATCTGAAATCCCTGGACGTAAAAGAATCGGCAGAAATCATGTCAGTGAACCTGCACGATTGTCTTTTTGAGAGTGACGCAACGCTTTCAGACTCAGATGAAACCTTTTTTTGCCATTTATTCGCTTTTTCAACGGGTATCGTTATGGCAAAATGCATTTCCTTAAGAGACTGCCTAATCTGAAGATGCCTGCAAAATGGTGGGCAAAACTTCATTGCAATCTCACTAGGGCCGATAGATTCTGCCACAATGCTTCCCTTTAGTTTAGCATACTAGCCCATTCGACCCAACTTTTGGTACACATGCAAGCTCTGATAACAAGAAACTAACGAGTGGTTGGTGTGGCGTCAATTTTTTACAATATTTTGCTATAAATGTTGTCATATAATTTCCCAATCCCTTCTGGATTGTGTCAATTGGGTGGGTGCAGATTCGAAAATTTAACCAAGCTATCCTTGTTTGCCTCAGAAAAGAAAAGTGTTTATCCCTATCTATGCAACTACTCTGTCTTTCGACAAGACTTTGGCAAAAGGATCTGTTTTTTTGCCACTTTTAGAGGGTAGATAGGCCTATTTACTTAATCAGATTTCCGTCTACGTTGTCCTGTGTCGTTAGCGCAGCCTTTTGTCTCGCCGAGCACAATTTAAGCTATTCTTGTTGACCATTCTGATGTCCGAAAGACCCATTCTCATGTCCAAACAGCTCTGCCTTGGCGCCAACTTAGTCTATAAGCAGCCGGTGCTCTCGTATGGCAGAGCTGCCGTGAAGCCACGGAGAGACCATCTCGAAGATGAGCCAATTAGCCTGACTACACCGACGTCTAGCATTGTTGTCCTACTCCGCCTGTTACACGAAGATGTGATGCAACCGGTTACTTCTTTGATTAATGCTAAAAGATAGCTTAACAGATGGATGTATAGATGGATGAGAAAATAGTTATTTATATAACTGAAGGGATGGTTGCTAATGCCAATTTTGGTCATCTTCAGTTTATAAATAGGTTCTCACGACTATTACTATATCTGATAAATGAGATACATTAAACCTGTTTCGTGTTTCGCTGCACTGTCCGGGTTCGAGCCCGACTGGGGGCTTTAATGGCACTTAAGAGAGGTAGAAACCGCATTCAAATCCAGCTTAGATGAGAATACCTTTTAGGAGGCATTGGAAAGATGCGGCCTACCCATGTGAATGTGGGGAAATTTAACTGCCAGTCCTTAATCACCTTAAACGAAATAGGGTAAAGGCTAATCATATATGAGTTTATTATGCTTTCACTTAATACAAGTAATCTGTGAATGATCAAAGGCTTCATACTCAGAAAGATGGTTCACTTCAACGATATATCAACACTTTCCTGGACTAGGCAATTTTCGTAATATTTCAAAGGTAAGTCAAGCAAAGGCCAACGTTGATAGTTAAAAGTGAATGATCATTAGAACTAGCCACAGGGACAAGGGAAGTTATGAACTTAAACTTTCATAACTTGAAAATAAACATCCCTTAGACGTAATTAAAAATAATGTCTGTTTAACAAGAAATAAAATTTTGAACAAAAGAACATTTTTCGCATATTAAATTTTTCTTCTTTACCTGCTTTTTACCGAGAAAAATAGCAAATGTGTAGGAAAGTAGGGAAATAAATTTCAAAAACTATCTATTCTATGTTTTCTGTTAGGGTCAAATTGACTTATCAGCGTTCGCTCTCCTGTCAGAGAGCCCTGTAACATAATTCGCAAAAAGGATAGTCTACAGAACATTGGTTGCATAAGATGTTGGTTCCAATGGTCAGAGCTGGTTGAGTAGACGACACAAATCGGATGAGATAGAATGGTCTCCAATTTAACGATTTATTGATGCTGGTAGGTATGCTAGTAAATGCCAAATAAGATAAGCGCTCAAAACCAACAGATTATGGAACACAATTGATGTAGAGAAGTTCGATCAGGGGGGTCGTTTATCAGCCCACAAAAGTAAAGGACTTGTCTGGTCGGCTACGCTTCTGCCAACATTCATGCGATTTCTGTACATCTGACTTCACACGGAAAGCTCATCAATTTTAAAAGACAGACGCGATGCATTTCCGTGAGTCCAAATAGGTCATCAAGACCTAATGATCTGCGACAGATGTCATACTCTACTCTAACTACTTATAAATATAGCAGACAGTTTAATAACTTTGCATACATCATTGAATAGCTAAAAATACACATACAATTGCATACTGACAATTTGAGGCAAAAAATTAACGCATACAATTATTTTCTACCTGCCAAGGTTAATTTTTGTTGGAATTTAGCTAAAATGTAGACAAAAGTCGATTAAATCAGGGTTGTAATACGAAGACAGTCCAGATCTGATTATTGTTGAGCTTACTTCCATTTCGAGTGAAAGTGTTGTGTGAAGAGATTCGAAGGTCGGTTCCACCAGAAGACGATGGTGGATTCCTATTGACCAGCTGTCAATAGGAACATTTATGCTGACGTTATTTTCGAGCTAATCTCCTTCGATTCCGATGAAAAGGGGCTAAGCCTTCGTCGTCACAACCAAATTCAACCTAACAATTCAAGAAAATTCACCTGCTTATCCATAAAAAGCTGTATATGTACTCTATATCTGATATCTTTGATGAATTATAAAGTGATTTGGTTAGTTCCAAACATATACCAACCTCAGAACATGTGAGAAATCGAAGAAGATCAACTCGGAAAGATCGTCAGCATGAATGTTCCAGTAAAGCCAATCAACGGCTGGTCAAGAGTAATGCTTCGTTGTCTTTTGGTGGAATCGACCTTCGAATCTCTTCAACAAATAATTTCACTCGAAATGGAAGTAAGCACAACAATTATGAATCAATAGATTCCTCGAAACCCTACTTTTCTTCGCATATACTACGCATAATACATACATACATATGAAATGAATTCTTGTCAACTTTCTTCTGGCTATACGAAAGCCAGGAAATCTATATCCCGGCAAGTCAATACTATTAGATTTTAGAAAATTTGTATTTACATAATGCAATTCCTAGGTGTTCAGATTTACCTATTTACACTAATAGGAAACTGGAGCAGGTATCATGTAGTTTGGTTAAGACTAGACTCAAAGGAAGTATAGAGAAAGTACATGACCTGATTAGAGTCAAAACAAGCATTAGACAACCCCTTTCTCGGCTATTTTCTCAAGAAGACTTTCTCAAATTGCAGAAAATGGCGGACGGTCTGGCGGATATGATGGATGAGAGTCATAGATACGGATATGATAAGAAATTAAGGAATTTAGGCATCGACATCAGCTTAAGTAAAAGTCAAAACAATAAGGAGGTAGTTAAACTTATTAGTATTTTTTCTAGCAAAAATTAAATCATTAATTTGTCTAGTATACCTATAATTGCTAATGTTACGCTTGTTTTGGAAAGGTGTCTAAACTTTGCCTTTTCAAATGAGCAAAATCATTCTATGGTGATACTGGTTGAGTTAATTAACTTAACGGACAAGCTGCCAGAAGAAGCTAAGAATAGTATAGAAAGTGAAGTGATTCTTCAATTTTATGAGGTAATTATCTAAAGAAATCTTATGACTTGAATAAGGTCTATAGATATTTGCACCAAAATAATCTGTTTGTTTAAAAGGCAGATAAGGTGGTGCAATGGTCATCATGAATATGTTAAATTATATATAACAAATGATGGTTCATTTAAATGACTCGGAAACTTACAGACATTTAGTGAAGGATTCCTCAGAAATTTTAAAGACCAGACTTATAGAATCGCTTGTCGTTTGTGCAAAACGATGAGAAATTGAGAAGCGGAAAATGAATTCACTTCTTCAGAGGGATGCTAGGGCTTCTTCGGATTACGGCCTTCCAAAAATGCACAAGGAAGGAGTTCCTTTAAGATTTATTGTTAATAACAATGAACTGTGGTGCATATGATTTTACGTTTTTTATGTAGACAACTGATAAAATTGGCTGAGTATTGGTAATATTAAGTGAAGTTTTTATATGAATTCGCTAGATTAATAGATCAACATTGTATTAAAGAGGAGGATCTTTCGGTTAGTCTTGATGTATAATAACTTCCCAGTTCATAAAAATATTGAAGCGCTAACACTCAGCCCAGAGGAGCACCCAGAAATTATTTGGAAGCAAATATGAGCAAAAGCTCAATTTTAAGGCTTCCTAATCTATCCATGAGCAGCAAATACTTCACATTTAATGATAAAGTTTATGAAAAGGTGCAAAGTCTTGCTTAGCTCCCATTTTAGCCAATAATTACATGTCAAGAATGGAGGAACACTTCATGGAAGAGGTAAGAATGACACCCAAACTGTTAGTTAAATATATGAATGACTACTTTGCCATATGGCGGTATGGCAAGGATAGTTTAGATAATTTATTGTTTTTAATTTACTAGATTGACTGCAATGTTAGGTTGACAATACAGATGGAGATGAACAATAATTGACCCTTTTTACATGCCTTAGTGATCAGAGCAGGTGAGAAGTTAAGCAGAGATGTCTATAGAAAGCCAACACATGCTGGCTTTATCCTTAACTACTTCTCCAATCATTGTTCCAAAACAAAGGTTAGAGTTTTAAAATCTATGATCATTCTGACCATAAGACCATTGTGAAAATGAACTGAATCGGCAAAAATAATATTTCGTGAGAATAATTATCGCATAGCCTTTATTGAAAATAGCATTAGATTAATAAAGAATAGCTTTTTGAATGGTAAATACGTAAGGAGAAAAAAGGAGACCTTTTCTCATGTTTTGTCTTTACCTTCTTGCATTGTCCCTAAAAGGAGAGGTGAGGGGAGTAAAAACGGTCTTTAGGCGAACTAAGACACTTTCTTTAGTTATCCCACTTTCAGAGAGAAAGTTGACCCATTCTCCAGATCGGGTTGCTACAAAATAATGTGTTCATGTGGTCGCTTTTATGTCAGAGCGACTTGTCGTCCCATTCGACAAAATGGGGCTGAGCACAGGCCAGAAACGGGACACGAGATTGAATGGTCTCAAACTTGTCGTTTTGCTAATTATGGTATGTTTGTGGCCAAACGTAAAATTAGAGAAGCCATCGAAATAGGCCGAATAGAAAATGCAATGAATTTAAGGAATACTGGCAAGAAGATAAGTAAAAATTACTTGTGCTTAATTAATAGACTGACGGATGGATAGGGAGTTGAGCCGCCTGTAAACAGGAGGCGACAAAACTAGTCTTTTCTTGTCTTGATTCTAATCATAGTCACTTCTCTATACTTTTAGCTCAATCTTTCTCTCTCGTATTAAGACCCAAAACCAAAAATAGGTTCATCAATAAAAACCAGACGTTTGTCCGACCTGAAACAAGAGACTCTTCGAAACCCAACTTTTCTTCACAAATCTGATTATGCCTGTTCAGTGGCATGACAGAGGAAAGTTCATTACGTTAGTGAGATGTCCGTTTTGAAGCTATCAGAAAGATTTTTGTTGAAAAGATGCACAAATCTTACTTGTTTTTTTATACTAGTGACGACGGTTTTGGGGACTAAAAACTGACGAGGATATTTAATTTTCATTTGTTCTCAACTTTTTCGTTGTTTCCTGTGGGTTAACTCCCAGAATGTATTAAATACGATCGCCTATCCGTGAAAAATTGCACATAAATGGATTCAATAAGAGCGCCATCACTTGCTTTGATATTCAGTCAAGACTTTCATGTAGCTCATTCGGGTTTTGAGAGAAAGATACGTTTTTAACCTCTCAACCCTGCATACATTAGATTCGAATCTGCTAATCACCGTTATTTTGTAAATAATAAAAAAATATAGATTGTCATACCTTTACAAAAATTAAGGCCCTTTACACTTGCAATGGAGTCGACGGAGTGTATCTAGAGGGCAGCATCACCTGGAAA